AAAAAGAAAAAGAGAAAAAAAGGAGGCACCTTGTGATACTTACATCTTTTTGGTTTCTCCCATAAAATAATTCTAGACACAGGCAAATATGAAGTTTAAGAATCCATATATTTAGTGGATGACAGTTTCTGAACATAATTCAGTATGAAATGGTGCAATACAAGAATATGATCTATTGTTGACCATCCCTATGCAAATCCTCATCGCCAATTTCCTTCCAATCTTGAAGCATACAGTTTAGGTGCTTGGCATATAATTTGCTAAGCACACTCAGAAGACTATGGGCCTATAAGAGGGCAGATTTTTCTCATTATCCTTTTTGTGTTTTGGTACTATAATTGCTAGCCCCCAACCTTCAGGATATGATTTGTTTGATCAAGATGCAAACCTGGTCTAACTAGTGGGACTAGTCCTCCTCCAGGTCTCCACACTCCCTGTGTGACATTGCCATATAAGCCATAATACAAAATCCATCCAAATCGAAGGTAAATGTAGCCCACGTTTCCTGCAAAAAAAAGGATTTCACATTTGGAGTGAAACTTTACACAAAAAGTTGGTCTTTGGGACTAACTGGCCAGCCTGCAGTGTTCCATGAGATGAGGATGAGATGGCTAGCTTTGGGGAAGATATCATGATACCTGCTTTTGAGGAGTTACATTTGAGGTGTTAAATTTTGGCTTGAGAGTGTTCCTCCTGTAAGGTAGTGAGATGCCTTTCCTCCCCCTTGATTACAAAGAGGAGAAGCAGGGAAATGTGTCTCCCAGGTCAAGTGATTGCAATGAGTTCACTGGACTGAGTAGATGATATACTCCCTGGAGGGCATCCTACAATTTGATCCATCTGGGTCAAATTCAGCATTTTGGAGGTACAATGTTCCTGCTGTTTCCCTTCAAAGAGTGCCTAGCATCCTGAATACTAGCAGAGCTTTATGGCATCATTAACATGCCATGACACCCATCACCCACAATTACCTCTTTTACCCAGATAAAGGCCATCTCCCCATGAATGACTTATCATACCTTCATACCATCCCCAATCTAGCCTGCTGTAAAGTCTGCCCCATTATGGTTATTTTGTCACAACAAAGGTTGGAAAAGCCTGGAACATGCTGTGAGACTCTAGGTGGGAAATGACTGATGTATGTTGTGGAAAAAGAGCCAAAGAGTGTGAAAATATGTTGATGCCAGGAGTGGGGAAGAAGGGAGGGAGAGTGGAGAAGTGCAACCAGAGGAGGCAGACAGAGTTTGCCACAGTGGGAGCTGAAG